TGGTTTTCTAATCCTTACAAAGAAGAAAACCTGAGTTTGTTGATTTGGATTACGAAGGCGTCTACTTGAAACAACCCACCTACAAGCATAAATTTCTGCCACATGTTGGTTGCACTTCACCTAGTACGCGATAAGGACGACATATTCAAATTAAGCTCTGAATAGACTGCTTTTAGACGACTTATATAAACGGTAGGGATAATGGATAATTAACATGGAATCCTTAGAAACTGCAACAAGATGGACGCAGTATGCCAGATACCTATACCCACTATGAATCAGTGGAAGATGGAAGAATCGTCGTCTAGTACTGCCGACCTCAAGAAAACCTTCGCCCATGTGCTTTGACCCCTAGTAAATCCATGAATGACCAGAATTGTACGACTTGTCTTCATTCCAGGAAGTCATGTAGTTGCACATTATGCGTATTCGATGCCATTTTGAACGTTTTTTGCATACAAACATCGCTGAAGAATTACAGTAATCATTATACGTCTACAAGAATACAAAAAACAACATTAGGATATAATCATTCCTGATAGTGTCCAATGTAGTTAGATGATCTAGGGAAAGTAAGGCGAGCTTGAACTGAAGGTCTTCTGTGGGGTCAGCGGTGTTGAAAACCAACGTGCGTAAAAATTTGAACTCACAGGATCATCAAAAATAGATGATACCAACTACCTACTGAAAAGCAACAGCAGAAACCACTAATGAATCCAGAACATCATCGTGCTCAGCAAAGATCAAATCCAATGAAATCCGAAGGTGAGACGTAAAATACCATAATAATTTGAGAGCGACTGAATCCCCTTCACCGCAAAGGTATATGGATGATGAAGATAGTTATGTTTTGACAAGAAAAATTCACAGTATTTTCACCACTATAGAAACCTGCACCAGCCGCAATAAGCAATTAATCTATGTTTGCGCTCCCTGACTTTCACATTCGTCTCTGAAAGCATGGATATCACCAATATAATTAACGTGCTCTATGATACGAACCGTCAGCGTCGCAGTCGAGCATAGGAATACCATCAAGACGGAGTAGGTCTGACGAAGGTCCTGAAGTAGAACCAGCACATGATCCACTTATATAGTCACCTTAAAACAAGTTTTTACTGCTCGAGCAATATCTTCAATGGGTATAATGTATGTTACCAACCAGTAAACAACACAAATTACCACAGTGATGCTGATATATGAGCAAAACTCGTGGGCTTCCAACCCGTTTACGGGTTACTGCTAATAACACCGTCAAGGTAAAAATATGACTGAGAGAAAAGCAACGCAAGAATTCGTTTGGTGTGGTAGATAAGAAGTAAATCCCAGGAAAGGGTAGTCGCCGGTTCGAATCCCAAATGTTGTCCCGAGTTTTGCTCATATCTCAGCATTACTATGGTTGTATTTCACATCATATACTGCCCTAAAAAATAAATATGCAGATAAAAGTTGAAACAACCAGTTGCTCTGATGTATCAAAACATCACATTGTATCATTATTGTAAAATGCTAAAAATCTCAGCGTTGACCAATCCCTGAGGAATGTGCCATGCATTCGACTTCACTATGCACCGGTGGAGGTGATTGAATGCATACCTAGCCTTTACAATGACTCGCGGTGGCCTACCGATGTACCGAGCCAGTGCTGCTATCTTCCCCGACAAGTCTGGTACCAGTTTGCCGACCCCGAAAGGAGAGAAGGCTTCGTGAGCCACCATCGTCGGAGTCGATTCCATGTGTATTACAGGGTGTCTCCGACCACTGCGCTACACACGCACCTCTTATTATTGCACTACATCTATTACACTATAGCAATCGACATTATAATATAATATTTGTTCCCACTGTCTGAAGGCTGTGGGCAGTTTTGGTAAGTTGTTGTGCACGGAGATGGAAAAGCAGTATTGCCAATCGAATCCGTATAGCAGTGCGGTGGTCTGACAACTGGCATTTCTCTAACCGACTCGGAGTCCACAATCTCTTGTAGTGAATAAGCAGACGGCACAGTTTGTTCGTTTGAAACGACGTTTCTGCCACAAGTGTCATCAACCCGTCCAGAAGTTCGTTTTTGGGCGTTCCGCCGTCCCATACAAGAATTCCGAGGGATATTTGAAGGTTTCCTTTGAACCATAGCACGTGACTCGAATACTTTTCTTGCGTTCAATGGCACGACACGGGAATTTCGTGCCACCACACTCTTTGCCTCCTGCTGTAGTTCGGTTTGCGTCGAAACACCAGTCAGGTCCTTAAAAATATGGTTTCAGTAACAGAAATCTATAGTATTCGAATAGAAACAGTAAAAATATTAAAACAAACCAAATCAAATTCTATATCCAATGTATTATTATACCAATAAGCGGACAGTAACATTATATGTTAACTAAGCTACTTCAGTATTATTTCCTACAATGTTACATTTTTATAGCACATTATACAAGACGTTGGGAGCGCAAAAGTTAAAGATGCCTTGTAAAAGTCGCACAGTTGCGGTCTCGATCGGCCTCAACCTAATCAAGCAGCACATCCTTGTAGGATAAGCGAATTTTAGAATTGTCTGTAAAATGCACTCACAGATCTACTACGCGTTGTGATGCCGTTGGTGAGGACCTTGGAACCATATAAAAGAGTTATCCCAAGATTTGAGGGTGAATCAATTCGAGCAGAATACAGTGACATTCATGAAAAAGACAAAGTCCTAAACTGGTGGGAGAACCTATTAACAAAATCGAAGACATTCGCAGATATCGAAAACCGAATCGCAGTCCCAAAAGGTTCCCACAAGCTGAGAGACTTTGATATCACCACGGGAGGTTTACCTATTGGTAAACCAGTTCCATGAACCATTGAATGGCATGATCTGAACTCGAACTTGAATTGGCAACGGCATGATCACTAGTTGGTCAAGATGTGGTAGAACTCTAGAACGGCACATAAGATTCCGCAAAAACAAAATCTTGCTGAAACTGAACCAGTAAATTAGCGAACAGACGTAAGTTGCGCGGAGGGTACGAACGCACCTTAATGATTTGCAAAAAATAAAAAAAAGAAGGCCAGTGAAGCATTCAAATAAACAATATATCAGCCATATTGCATCGTATTTTACTGCGTTCAAAAAAGGATTAAGCTTTCGACGTTGATCAATCCCTGAGGGATGTGCTATGCATTCCACTTCATTAAACATCGTTGGAGGTGATTGAACGCATATCTGGTCTTCACAATGACTCGCGGTGGCCTACCGATGTATCGAGCCAGTGCTGCTATCCTCTCAGACAAGTTTGGTACCAATTTGGCATCCCAGGAGGGATGGAAGACAGAGTGCGAAGATCGATTCCACGTGTGCGTTGCAAGCCGCCTCCGACCACTGCGCCACACGTGCCCGTTTCATTGCATTTATATTCTATTATTATATTAGTTTCAATAGACTTCATGCCATATAGTTTTTTTTATCTCGTTAAGCTCTATGGAGTTCAATTATACTATACTGGATTAAATTTCTACTATCCCACTGCATTATAGTTTACATCAAGTATACTATCACCCGTATCAGCTGTAGTCCTGTCGATCGTCGAGTGATTCGAGCGGGTGCCAGTAAATCTTCCATTTTTCCCTGACGCGTGCAAGAGTAGTCCAGTGGGTTCTGCCAGCTCTAGGAACTCGTCGAGCATCATATCTTTCTTTTAGGCTCTTCGTGAAGAACTCCGACCATCGGGTCGGTACGTTTGACATCCCGAGGAATCCAGCCACTAACGGTTCCTGTCCATCGGTTTTCATTCTTATGCATTACGTGTCCGGCCCACCCTATCTTCGACTGCTTGGCGTACAGAACGGCATCTTTGATTTTTGATTGCTAACGCAGGTCAGAGCTTCGGATCCCCTCACTTATTTGTGTGGAACGGGATACTCCTCGCATCGTCCTTTCGACGGCGCGTTCGATAATGTTGAGTGACCTTTCATCGCGCCTAGGCAGTGACCAGGTTTCTGGGAAAAGGTGGGTACGGAGTCGGGTGTTGTTTGTCTCCTCACTACATCCTCGATGCTCTTGAAAGTTCTTCAAGCCGCTCGTTTCCTTCTGCTCAACTCTGGACCTAAGTCGTTCAACATGTTCATTTCCCGACCTAGATAGACATAACTGGAGCATTCGAAGATATTCTCTCCGTTGAGCGTGAATGGGCATTCGAAACCAATCCGTTCCTCATAAACATCATTTTTGTGAGATTTCGTTGAAGACCAATCCAAAGGCTTTATCGAAGTCGGCAAGTATACGTTGCGCTTGGCTAATGTTTCTTGTTGTAAGGACAATGTCATCAGCAAAGCGAAGACAGCGTAACTGCCGACCATCGATTTCCACTCCCATATTATCCCATTCCAATGCTCGCATGACGTTCAGGAGGGTGGCGGTAAATAATTTTATAGTATCGCCTTGCCTACCTTCTCTTTCGACGTCAATGTTAATATCGTTGTAGAATGCTGATACCTTAGTTGTGGAATTTTTGTACACCTCACGAAGAATCTTTATGTACTGAGTAGGGACTCCTTCACTATCAAGGACTTCCATGACTACTTCTACCTCAATTGAATCAAAGGACTTCTTTAAATCGACGAAAGTGGGACAGAGCGGTCTTTTGCACTCTCGCGACATTTCAACGAGTCTTTTTATTGTATGGATGTGGTCCATCGTACTAAATCCTTTTCAAAACCTTGCTTGCTCACATGGCTGCCCTTCATCCAGTGTTCTGTCAATCCCGTTCAGGATGACTCGACTGAAAAATTTGTAGACGACAGGCAGTAAACAGATTGGACGATAGTTGCCTATATCGTGTAGGTCATCCTGTCTGGACCTGGTGTTGTTGGATTTTTCACCGACGAAATGACATGTCAGACTTCGGAAGGGAGAACCGGCAGTGCAACATATCCATCCTCCTTTATTTCATGTGACGGAAGGTGGACGTGGCTATCGAAAAAGTCCGAGTAGTATTCGTGAATGATTTTCTCCATTGCCTTTATGGACGCTGTAACTGTTCCATCTGGGCGCCGGAGTGCAATTTTTGGTCTTGTAATTGGCGAAGCTTCGGTGGGCTTTGCGAATAGTTTTCCCAGACTTCGAGTATTACTGCTGCCCTTCTCTCTTTAAGATCTTCTTTTATCGCCTGTCTACATTGTTTTGCAAGTTCGGTCGTTAGTTCGCGGTTGCCTGCAGCTTGTGCGATTCCACGCTGACGTATCAACTCGAGTGTTTCTGGAGACAAACGTCTCATGGCGACTTTCGAACTCTCAGCTTTCATAGCGCTAACGTGAAGATGTTGGATGAGCCAATCGTATTCTTCATCGATGTTATCAACAACGTCATCTTCCCAACATCCGACTAATGAATTGAATAAGTCCCAGTTTGCGGTGGTTCTGGGACTTCAGTTTTAAAGTTTAGCGGCTTTTTCTCCTTTCTGTGAGAAATAGAATCTTGCACGAAAGCGACGATGGTCTAATCCCGTGTAGAATCTTGGGACAACATCGATATCGGTTAGGGAGAACCTTCTATTTACTATGATGTAGTCCATTTCGTTATGGTACTCTCCATTAGGAGACTTCCACGTCCAGCGATGAGGGTGGGGCTTCTGGAATTGCGACTTCTTCTTCGTCATAGGTTGATGTCGGCGCGCAAACGACGAAGATTGTCAAAGCCGGAATTGATCCATGTCTTTTCAATCGTAAACGTCCGATTCGGGTTGTAAGTTGTTCGAATGAATCGATGTTCATGGACAAACTCGTGTGGACGAGAACGCCGACGCCGCCGACTCCTCTATTGTCGCATGTTCCGAGGAACCGTTCCTCTCCGGTGTCATAGACGGCGTTGAGAGGCTGGCGCCTTCTCGTCTCGGCCAAGCTGCTGATGTCATACCTTATCCTTCTTTCTTGCATGAACAAGTCTTCTATCGAGGACTCAGATGCAAGTGTGGGTGCATTGTTGGTACTGATCGTCACCTTAGTTCTTCGTGGTCCAGGCAACTCCCATTGACCCTGAGATTTTAGCAGCCTCTCCGTACTCGTCCTACCCAACGCTGCCGAACTGGGTACTCCTTCGGAGTCGGGGGAATGAGGCCCGTTTTTTACTGTGTTTAGCATTTTTGATACCCACGTATAGCTTGCTGGGCTCTGAAAATGAGGACTGGGTATAATCACGGGTAGCTTGCCAGGCTCTCCTAGAGTGGACATGGAGCATACTTGTTGAAGGCGACTCCCGACCGCCTCCCATATACTTCTCTGTCACTTGATTGCAAGCTTTTGACCGAATTGACTCGCAGAATACAATACGCATAAACTGGAACACACCCACACACGCATGCATGAGTAACTCTTTGTAAAGACGGTATGTGTCAAATCGGCGCAGCAGGAACAGGGAGTCCATCCCTTGGATCCATCTGCGTCTCAGGGAAGGTCCGCTATTAACCCTCTAGGCGCCACCTGGGGTCGCACCACGTAACCTTGCGACTAACCGGCTCGAGATCCCTCATGTAAGGAAAATCTGTGGCAAGTATACTATACACCGACATTATCTATCTAGACAACTTGCGATACTCCAACCCAGTAAAGCAAAGAAACTAAAAAGATTAATGGAGGCGGAAAATTTTTAGTAGATAGGCCAGAACTGTCATAGGACGATGAACAATGCTGCCAACATGGCATCACCGTAAATTGTCTGCGAATGGTCGCAAAGCCTAGGGGCTCCTGGAACTTCTTCCTCGAAAACCTTACCCCCTGGTTATCGGACTAACACCTACAGCAGACGAATCGTGCTGCACCATATGTTGCCAACTTTTAACCGGAATCAAACACACCTTGGAGAACTCACTGAATGGTTGAAGAATGTTCGTGAAATACGACTTGTTCAAAGTTAAAAGGCGCTCACAAAAATGATGAGCTGGAGCTCTGAAAGAAGGGTGTGCTGAGAATTTAAAAGTGTTACCTATCAGCACTCCAGTTTACTTTCCATAAAATTGTATTTTCTCATATCTAAGCGCTTTCTATTCTATTGATTCCAACTAACCTTAGAACGATGTGATGAAAAAGTGAATTCGAACGTTCACCGTGAGTCGCATCAAAATCGACGGCTTTGCCATCACAGAAACATGATTCTGACAAGGCACAGGAGTCAAGCTGAAAGTCGATCTCTCTAAATTGTCATCCAACTAAGTGTGGATTATAAACTTCCTACAACACTAGGAAAATCCGCGAAGCATTTCTCTCCATTTTATAGCATAATACTGGTTCTACGGTGAAGAAGTTGTGCTCAAGCCTCCTCCAATCATCGTCCTACAGGTTAGTGTTCACGGCATTTAAAAGAAAAATACAACGAACCGAAGAAGGGACACTATTAATATCAATTCCAACCAGCCACATGCTGCGCAAATATCATCGTAACGTTTTTTTTCAGAAAGACAGTACCCGAGAAGTGTGGCAGCGCTGTAATGTGGTCCATCTTTGCCAGTTACGATGAGAAAGGGCTGTTTGTATCTACCATTTGACTTCTTCAATGAGTGTGCTCCAAAAACTTGGACCGCCTTATCAACTAAAGCACTTCTATGAAGCCAAAAAAATTAAGCAATGATTTCTAGGGGCCGTGCAACACATACGTGGAATCGGTCCCAGCGCCCATGAGCCAGCAAGCCTTTCGTGCCTCCGCAGTCGGCAAATTGCTGCCAGACTTGTCTGGCAGGATAGCAGCACTGACTTGGTACATCGGTAAGCTACTGCAAGCCATTGTAAATGCCAGATATGCACTCAGTCACCTCCGAACGATGCTTAATGAAGTCGAATGCATTGGACCTCCCTCAGGGATTGATCAACGATCTTTTATCGTTCTGTTGACTGTGAAAAGATGATTCATCTGTAATTCTTTAAACGTCGTCCTATTGCTTCTTTTGTCCACAATTCTACTTTTTTACTCCTCTAACGCTTTTCCATTATCGCTATCGGGAACTAGACACAGTAGTGTGACACCATGTCGTCGAGTGGTCCATCGTTACTCAATGTAGTGTCGCAGTGATGGACACGATAGACTACGAACGTAGAAATCTTCTGAAATCTTTGTAAGATGAACGATATCGTCATCTTTTTGAGAATTGTCAGTTGGTTATGGAACTCAAAGAAGGCGACAAAGTTGTAGAATGAAAACCTATAGATTATAGCACTTTCGATGAGATTGAAACCGAATTGAGACGAATTCTTCTTCGGTGACAGAAATACAATATTAAATGCTCTTTTAGAGGTAAAATGAATGAGTTCTGGATAAAGGAAGAACGACTTCACAGTCAGCGAAGCAGACCACTCATATGAAATGCTGTACGGAGAGAAAAGAGCAAACAGAGAATATGCTTAAGCACTTCCCAGCGACTTATTCGTAGAAACGAGTCGTTTAGGTCTTTTTGTCTTTTTATTACATACTCCAGTTTTTCTATTCTCACTATAAACATTTCTCTTTGCTATGTTATAATCATTTTCTCGATCAAACTCACAACTTGGTAAGTCAGATTAATTTTCTTTTGAAGTACAAATTTATCTATGTGCGCGTTGGTGTTAAAGAAAGATGAATCACATGCACACGGTAACAGTGTTCAAAACATGCACTTCACCATTGCTCCTTGCTGGACCGTGTATGGGATAACGTAGGTCAAAATAATCCTAGTCAGTAATTAGAAAGGTATAGTTCATCTCCGAATCTAACCGCCATCTAAATCCTTGTCCCACGCCTTGTGATTTGATACCAAGTCATTTAGGTCAGTCTACCCTCACATATCTTCCGATGGAGCAGTCACCCTCACCATTGGTAAACTGCCTTCATGGCACTAGTTCAGCACAAGTCTATTTATCGCTACAGCACCTAACCAGAGAAAAAGCACACGTCTCATTTATAATACCACTCTCGCAGCCTTTCTACTCCACTCACAAGCTGGATTGAAGGACAAATTCGTCCCAAAAATGGTCTTCTATGTCTCATCAAGTGTAGAAAGATTTTCAAGTCAAAATCCTGGAACACTGGCCTGCATTGGACATGCTAACGATTGAGCACAAAAAGCACGCGATGGAACCTTAGTGAGGCAAAATAAATGACTAGAAATAAAAAGATGTTTGATGTCAAGTCAAGCGGTTGACCTGCACTCAAGTATGAGTGATAATCAGTTCACGACCGACTTTAATTCTTAAAATAAGTCACGGTTAACGTGAACCATCACCTACCCTAATGAAAAGATCATGATCGTTCGCGTATATTCCATTAATCAGAGAGAACGGTAGAAGATACGTTGATAGATACCTAGAAAACTTTTTGCTTCAACTTTTTCATCACTTCGAATGCTTAGGCACACTACCTCTTTCCTTCCTGTTGACAAGCGATACGGTACAGTAGACTGTTTGAAGGACGTGAAATGCAAATACAGTTGTTCTGTTTCGATTCTATCCCATTTCCGTTCTGAGATGTTGGAACGGAAATCTGGAACATCCACGTCATGCATCACGTCAAACATTGTGACGCTATGGATACACTGGTGATTGCTGATGGCAATGATCGACAAAAAAATAGCTGAGAGACAAGCGAAACAAAGGACCGGCATGGTGTGGTGGTGGACGCGTTAGCCCCTAGAAAGAGTAATAGTGCGGTCGTTCACTCCGCAGACACCTGCGATACGGTGTTTGGCAAATATCTCAGCATCATCACGGTTGTATTTCGCATAATATTATGCCGTGAAAAATTGTAGTAGGCAGCAAATAAAAAGTTAGCTATAGATATATTTTACCTTTAAGCTTACTTGATTATTTTCTATGACCCGTCTGAAAGGACTCATTCTCATTGAACAGTGATTACTCTATAAGGACCTTCTGCATCAGATGGATGGACTCATACTTGCGATGACGAACAAAACTTCCATTGCACTGAGAATCTTTGACTACACAATTATCAGTGAGTTCATCGAGCCCCGGTAATTTATAATTAATGAAGGAGTACCGAAAAAATAACTTCTGGAAGAAATTGGTTTTAGGGCATCTATATATAGATATAGGAAACACGTGTGGCGCAGTGGCTGGAGACGCCCTGCAACACACACGTGAAATCGATTCCCGCTTCTAAGGCTGACCAAGCATTCCATCCCTCTGGGGTCGGAAAATTATGTATAGATAATGATCACTTTTTATTTTCTGCCTTCTATAATTTTTATTGCAGGGTATAAAGCGAAATACAACCACAATATTACTGAGATAACTTGAAAGACCGACTTTCATAAACCTCGGCATAGATAGTTGATAGATTTATTTATATGATCTTATAAACTGATCTTCTTAAGCTGACGCGAGGTTAGCACAGATCATCGTTGTCGGTGACGTTGTTGTTGATGTTGTTAGTCGATGGCTGCCGTTTCGGCGACTTCGCCTTCCTCAAGACCTGGACGTATTTTATATTAGAATATTTTTATTATTTGGTGGAAAAAAGGTTAAAGTATTAATGAAGATCAAACTTTCAAATTTTCAAATAGACGCCATATTAAACAGAAAGGCCACTTACCGTGATTTTACGTGTGGGACTGGCTCACACGTAGTTCACGTGGGGTCGCAAGCAAGACACACCCCGAGGTCAAAATATCATTTTGAAATAGGGCGCCAGGTCACGCGTGATAGTGAGGCATTCGTCCTTCTGGTTCATCTTTTTGAAATTTTTTTTGAAATTTTTTTCACCGAATAATAAAAATATTCTAATATAAAATACGTCCAGGTTTTGAGGAAGGCGAAGTCGCCGAAACGTCAGCCATCGACCAACGACATCAATAACGACGACAACGACAACGAAGACCTATATCAAGAGGCTCAAAAAGATCGTTTTATAAGATCATATAAATAAATATTGTAGAGATATTTGCAAAACTCCATCCAGCAGGTGTCTGCGGTGGTGAACGAACGCGCTATTGTCCTATTCCCCACCGCAGACACCTGCGGTCCGGAATTTTGCAAATATCTCAGCAATATTGTGGTTGTATTTCGTTTAATGCCCCGGCATAAAAATTATAAAAGACAGAAAATAAAAAGTAAACATTGTGAATTCAACTACAGCCTCAGCTTAACTGGGTTCAATGCCGATGTGGGCTCCGCAGATCAATCCCGTTGACGGTGATTGCTGATGGCACCGATTGACAAAAAACTAGCTGAGAGACAGGCGAAACGAAGGACCCACATGGTGTGGTGGTGAACGCGTTACTCCCCGGAAAAGACAATGGCGCGTTCGTTCCCCACCGCAGACACCTGCGGTCCGGAGTTTTGCAAATATCTCAGCAATGTTGTGGTCATATGTAGATACTCTAAACATCTAAAATTTAAATTCAGGCAGTAAAAAGATCACTATTATAAGATTAGTTAGTTGACTAATTAGCAGGAATTTCACTGAGTGATCTCCTATCATTGAAGTTAGCACGGTTTTCCTATCAACACGGTCATAAAATTGCCTTTCTAAGAAAATGCAAAAAAAATGACTGCAGTACTATCGTATGTAGTACTGCTTTCACAAGACTAAGTTGTGATCAACCGATAGCAATGCTGTGAGTGTCCTCTCACACGAACTTGTTCGTTACTTCCACGTTTTATTCTATAATCAGAAAAATATTCGTTCAGATGGCCAGGAATATGATAGGTAAATGGATGATTAACAGAACTAAAACATATATTTGGAAAAACCTCAAAGTGAAAACATCACACTGCACTGACATAGAAACAACCTAGCTGGATGGATTTGTATGGATAGTAGTCGGTCAATAAGATTCGACGTCCACCATTCCTCTCGAAGGTCCTCTCATTGTTACCTCCTTCTGAAACATTGCTGATTTTTGATTTAGGTAATACAAAAAGTACATAAATGACATAGTCTACTAAAACTATCTCAAGTCACTTTATGATACCTTCTTATATGATCGACATTACATATTTTGTTGATCCTAGCACTTCCATTCGGTTCATTGCCTCACATCCATCATCCACGAAGGACTTTAGATTTGCATGTGAGTTCGACTGCTATTCGAATTTTATCTTTCTTAAGAAGTAGCTCTATTAGAAAGTTGTCGAGTCCTGAGTACAGACAATCGCTTTTTTGATCGGCAGGAGTTCCCCTCATTCAACACTGATACCAATTTCCCGACTGAGGATAGATTGTACGCTCGATTGGCGCAGCTCGTAACCGAACCAGCTGCCATGCTTATATTTCATGGAATCTCTAACTTCTGCACTTCCAGAGTCCAAGTCCTCATAAGCCTTCATTTCATATTAAAGAAAACATTAACATCCATATCTTTAGTTTTCCAAATTCCAACAAATATTTCTAAACAACTCTAAACAACAAAACTACTACGAATAAAAATGTAAAGAAATACAAAACGATTACGCAAAAGATCTACCTTTTCTCTTCCTCTCTGTATTTTGTGGTTTAAACGGTAGTCGAAGGGTACTGATCCTATTCGGTAGATTCTGTGATATGGAAAGGATAGATCACTTGGCATAACAAAGGACTAGGCAGATCTTAAGAATTTGATAGTATGGAAGCAGTACTATATTTCTAAGTGAAAATCCTGAATGTTGTATCTTTTTACTATTCTATGATTAACACGAGTTAGACAACCTGTTCAAAAGTCGAGAATGATTGGAAAAATGGAAACCTGGTTTGTGTACGTGGGAAGAAATAGACAGAAAACGAATATAGCTAAAGTGAAGAGAGGGAAAGACACTCAGACAGCATACGGTACTAACCTGAACAATTACTTGGTTCGCAAGAGAGCCAACTAAGCTTTGCAGTTCTCGAGAAGGCAGTTTGTTAAACACTATCTCTCGAATCCTGTCTCTCTCATCAACAGATATCTTAAGACAGTACAGAAATCATTTACTTTACAATAGCTACCGATAAGACAGGAAACAAACTACAGAAGAAGATCCATGGTGAGACCGTTGCTGAGGCAGATTGAATTCGTCTTTCCTACAAATGGAAGAAATTTTCACTTCATTTTCAAGCACATCCCCACAATGCGAATCACTCAGGCTTACAGTAGTACCATAATCTTTTCCCGGATTGCTGAGTCACATCTAGGACGGTCTTCTTGGCCTAAATTAGTACATCCTAAGTTTCTGAACGTTTTCATAATCCAAAAACGGAAAGATCAACGCAAATAAGACCCTAACCATTATCCTTATTAACGTCTCAGTACCCTTAATGCTTCCACATCGGAAAAACTACTGTCTCACAAATAATTCCTGACAAGCAAAAACCTTCTGCAGCAATCATAGATCGTATCTCGGAATCATAAATTACAGGATATCAAACTTTTACTGTCAAGAAAAACACAGATCTAAGTTGAAATGACTCCAATTTCGCATTCTCGTACAAACATGTGTCAACATTCATAGCAAATCCCTTTAACGACTACTAAGATGCTTCCCTGAATTATTGGAAGACATACCTGAGCTTAGATGGCAAATCAATGACTCCAATTTTTCTTTGACACAATGGAACTCATCTGACGACATTAACCCCCGAATGATGTGCACCACCGACCAATAAAATAGACTTCCCCAGATTAAATTCCTTATCAGTACATCAATCGACATGTACGAAAACGACAAGAAACTTGTATGAATCTTTATCACACAATTCTGAATCATTCGCTTGAATCTGAATAGTGGAGCACCAGTAACTATAGTGCACTGGGAATGAAAGTTTTCCTAACATTAGTGAGACTACAGAGTCTCATATAGGTTTCAATAAAGTCCAATCAATCTTTAAAACTGCCTCTGAATAAACCACAAACATAACTTCATACAAGGAGACCCGGGAACTTAATGATGATTGTGAAAAGTACAGGAAATGAATTTAAAAGCTAAAAACATATGCACATATGCGTAGCGATGAAAAGTAGACAAATCAGCTAAGCTCAAAACCAGTTTCTGAATGGATTGCGTAACGAAGCTTCGACAACAGCACCGACTTCTTATTGTAGTTCGGCAATTTCAGTAAGTTGAAACACGTCGATGCTGAAGTTGAAAAAGAATTACAACAATAACCGTTAGAGACAAAAGTGTAATGACAAAGTAAAGGTGCCATGTTAAGAAATTGACAACGCCACCAGCACCAATGATTTCGGAAAGAATTCGCGAACCGCTTTTACACTGTTGGGTTAACTAAGGAGTCAATTACGCTCAGGGTATGACGCTAAAGTGGTAGTGGTTCAGTTTCATAAAGACTCCTATCAACTTTCACATCAGCGGAAAGAAGCTACGGAGGAAAAAAAACCTTTATATTAATCTTCACCTGTTGGAAGGCGTGAAGACGATTGACTTTTTTTGAGAGCGAGGAAGCCCCGTACGACACTTCCCAGTGTGTCGCCTTGATCCTTAAATTTTATGAACTTATTGAAGGTAGCCAACAAAACATTGCACATTCAAGAAGTAGTGGTCTCTATTTGGTACCTGATCATCTGAAACTTCCACACAACGTATTGAGAAAGGAGGTTCCAAATACGAAAATCCCAAGAGAGGTGGCCGAGAACAGCTGGTGACGAACTAAACGCACCAAAGGTAAGAATTCAGAGTACTTGCGAAAAAAGTCAACAGAAATTTTGAAAAGGTACTTGAGCTTGCCTTTAAAAATAGTCTTCTTTCTTCAGGAGTGAAATCCTTTTCAACAATCTCCCATAACCACTTGATTAATCGATGGCTTCCGTGGAATCCACCGTAGTACTGCACATGTTTCTTTAGATCAGCAAGATCAATGTCGCTGAATTTTGAAGTAACAACAGACTTTCATTAGAAAGAAAACGGCGACAGCCGCAGCAAGGTTGGACTTCACATCGTCCAAACCTAACCTTTAGAGGATAGAATCATAGGAAAACACACAATCCCATTTCACAACAGCACATTTACAGTGTAGCACAAAGCTACTACATTCGAAGAATTATACCTGGTTAATTGTGAGACTACACGGTGGTCTGCGAGTTAAACACACACCAAAGCCGACCTAGGTTTCTGGTCCGATCTGAGATGGGTATACTTACTTGGCACTTGATACTAGGATGACCCGTCTTCACTGGTTGTGCGGTCGCCAGCACAACTTTCACTTTTAGGGAGCTTTCCTGGTTGTCCGTTGGGGTGCCCTGGAGTCTCGAGGTCAGCCTAGCCAAAGTTTGCCCCAGGTCTTCACCACCACAGACAACTGCCGCCCTTGCGAATCAGAGAGAGATTTGCCACCAAGCGACTAGTTTGATACCAGGACGGTGGTGGATCCTGGCATTGGTTTACTCTTATCTGGACTTGACGCCTGACACTTGAACGGCCCGTCCTCACCGGTTGTACGGACCCCGGCATAATCATCATTTATCGGAGATTCGCTGGCTAAGCCATTGTGGTTCCCTGGAATCCTGAGGTCAGCCTAGTTAAAGTCCGCCCTTGATCTTCACCACTACGGGCAGTCGCAGCCCTTGTGGATTAAAGGAAGATTTGCCACCATGCAACTTTGATACCAGGACGGTAGTGGATCCTGGTATTGGTTTACTCTTAGCTAGGCTTCCTGATGGAAACGCCGGGGCCCTTCTCAGCTTGGGAGACCCTGCCGTGGAGGAAAATCCCCTCGTTGTATATCGCAGTCCGATACCCAGGAACACCTCCTAGCCACGATGAGGAGGTGAACCATTGGGAAGAAGGTGGAAATTCAGGAAAAAACACTTTACGACCACACTGCGCTCAAATCTCACTCAATTTATCCAATTTGACTTGTTTTCTTTACCAAAATGCTGCCTAGTTCAAGTAATTTTGTGTATGAAATGCATGTTTAATTCTATCTTCCCAACGGTTTAGCGCCTTATGGTGGCTGGGAGGTGTTCGTAGGTGTCGGGCTGCGATGTACAGCGGGGTGATTCGTCACCCCGACAGGGTCTCCCAAGCTAAGAAGGAGTCCGGCGTTTCCATCAGGAAGCCCAGCTAAGAATGAACCAATACTAGGATCCACCACCGTCCTGGTTATCAAACTAGTCGCATGGTGGCAAATCTCCTTCTGATCCACAAGGGCTGCGGCTGGCTGTGGTGGTGAAGACCTAGGGCAGAATTTGGCCAAGTTGACCTCAGGAATCCATGGAGCCACAATGGCTTAAAAAGTAAATCCCCGAAAAATGGTGATTATGCTGGGGTCCTCACAGCTGGTGAGTACGGGCCGTTCAAGTATCAAGTATCAAGTATGCTTAATTCTACATGGCAGTCAGATGAGAAGGCTTTTAATTTCTTTCCGTTCACACTACGAGTCCTCTGTGATTCATATAGCTCACGTTGCTCCCTCTTCCCTACCTAAAAGACTACGCTTTTTTGTTCCCTGTGTATAATTCGGTTTCTTTATGTATCACTAGCTAATTTTTATGAACCTTTATATTTTACCTACCACCTTGGGAGCATATTGTTAGCACTTGAGCATTTTTGGATGTTTTCCCTTCTATATCTATTTATTCCAGCCGGCGACTATGGTCTATCAATTACTGAAGAATAGTTAAGCGCTCGTCAAAAATGAATACGCTATACACTTGAATCTTGCCCGACGTTAAAATAACTAGTCACAGCTCTATGCTGGAGATGTCGTCAACCATCGGGAGCACGTCCTCATTGATGCATACACAGATGGTTCGTAATCAACTGCTTGTTGGAGGACGATTTAGCAGGCCTAGTTCCATCGATTCATTTATTGCATCATCCATGGTCCCCTTATTTATCGCGCAACGCGAGAAGGAACCAGTAAACTCCGTTCGTCACCACAGTAAACCTACTTGATAGACCACTTTCCTCGAGTGAAATGAAGAGTAACAATTTCTCATAATGCCTTTCTTAATTGCTTTTGGACAGAACGTAGCCATGGGAGCTTGGTGGGCTCCGTGGTGTCCGAAAAAGAAATACCCAAATTCCTCTAAGATTGGCAAACAATTTCTGGATGGCTGAACTCCTACTGTAAATCGCAGTTCGAATCAGTAACCATGATAAGGCGGTAAGCAATTGACAACATGCGTCTGCAACAAACAAATATTTAGAGATAACGAATTAAACTTACCTAGTGTAACCGCTGATAATGAACTGGAGTTCATATGGTGCGAAAAGGAATAGCCAAGCAGGATTCAAGACAGATTGTGCACCTGCCACAAAAGCTCGGCATTGCTGTTTCGTTTGTGAAAACACGCGATGATGTGCCATTCGATGAACGTAATCAATCCTATAGTGGTACGAACAGCTTCGGGAAAATTATGAAGTAACTACGACCAACAAACACTGTTATATAGAAGACTAAGGGTATAACTTATTATATATCTCACTTATTCTCGTTCGTGACTTGAATAGTACGACCTCCAGGAATCAAATCCACAGTGTTGATCTAAAAATTGAAAAAAAAATGGAGATAAAACACATGCAAATCACTACAATCATCACCTTTCCCATGAAATCCTCGTCGATAGAGAATGTAAGTGCAAGGTCGCTCACATCACCGTCGTATTTCTTAACAAATGTGAGATTACGATACAACTCAGGATCTAGTTGAGAAAGTTCGTCAAAAGCACAAAGGCGACGTCCTCCAAGCATCTGAAATCTCTTAAGAGTAAACTTTGCCTTGATTCTTAACCCTTTTATTTACTGCCTTTTTCTTTTTAATGGCATGATATGTTTGCAAATATCTCAGCATTATATACGAGTTATATTTCGCAACATACCCTGCCATTAAAAAAAAGGCAGTAAATAAAAGGGTTAAGATTGTGATTATAACTAAGCCTCAGCTTAACTGGGTTCAATGCCAATTTGGGCTCTCCAGATCAATCCCGTTGACGGGTGATTGCTGATGGCAAAAGATCAATAGAACTAGCTGGGAGACAGGCGAAACGAAAGACCCACGTGGTGTGGTGGTGAACGCGCTACTCCCCGGAAAGGACAATAGCGTGTTCGTTCCCCACCGCATACACCTGCGCTCCAGAGTTTTGCAAATATCTCAACATTATATACGAGTTATATTTGCCTTGATTCATTAGAAATTCAAAATTTTGCAACTTCAATTTTGAGACGATTGCGGATAACATAGTGATAAAGAGACAGCCCAATACGCACAATGTTCGACCTCGCATTAGACCAACGAACCCTCTGGGGTGAGCAAATACTTAGCAGACTTATCCTAGCTCAGTTCATTACTCCCAGCCCACGTGGGTACGCTCTAGCCCAACTATGCCAGAATTCCATGAAACATTGACTCGCAAACATTCAATGACGTTCATAAGCCCACTTACCTGGATAGTTGGATGGTCCGTCTTCACGGGTTGTGCGGGCTCCAGCATAATTTCTTTTTTTCGGAATTTGCTGGCTTAGCCATTGTGGTCAGGTCTGTCAAACCAAAGTCTGTCGAAGGTCGCCATCACCACAGGCAGTCGCCGCCCATGTGGACCATAGAGATTTGCCACTATACGACTAATTTGATACCAGGATGGTGGTGGATCCAGGTATTGGTTCACTTTTAGCCGGGCATCCTGATGGAAACGCCGGACTCCTCGGCTTGAGAGACCCTGCCAGGGTTATGAATGAAGTTATGGGGCTGTGAAATTACTAACAAGACATGATAAGAAATGTCGTAAAGTGTAGCCCAAAGCTACACATCCATTATAAAGAATGAAGGATAAAGCTCTCGGCGTTGATCAATCACTGAGGGATGAGCCATGCATTCGAATTCATTAAGCATCGTTTGGAGGTGGCTGAATGCATATCTGGCCTTTACAATGACTCTCGGTGGCCCACCGATGTGTCGAGCCAATGCTGGTACACTCTTAGACAAGTCTGGTACAAATTTGCCGACCTCAGAGGGATGGATGGATTGGAGCCTGGAGGACGTTGATCGATCCCATGTGTATTGCAGGCAGGACGCCTCTGACCACCGCGCTACACGCGCCCTACATCCATTATATATGGCAAATTCATAGAAAAATTTGATAAGAATCGTACCGCTGCTAGCAATACTGGCGCTAGCTGTACATCCACAACGATTCCCTCATAAACCGCCTTGGCAAGGATTCTGCCAACGAACTGGAATAGTGCCAGGTGATCCTCATGCACGCTGGAAGTGGCTGATGGATATAGCACTCCACCAGCCGTGCTCTGAATAAAAGAGCAAATCAGAGTAGTTTCCCATATAAGAAGATGAACTTACGTGAAATAAATTCAGAGCTGGATCAAAGACTTTTTTAATCGTAAGTTCAAGAAATTCCTTAAATACTCCATCTTGATCAATGCCAGCTTCGTCAAGGCCCTGCAAAACCCATGTAATATGATGCAATAAAAACTTTAAAAACCAATCCGATACAGAATCTTGTTGGATGTTAACCTGCTGATTCACAAATTTGACTCTTATAGTAGATTTAAGAGCTCTTGTAGACAACATCGACAGTTGCCGATAACCATCCTCTACTAATCGATTTCGTCCCACCGTAATAAGAGTAGCGGAAGACTCAACACTGCTCTAGAACAATTTTTTAAATTCAACATTCCACAAAAGTAGCACATTGACCATCTAAGGACACCTTATCAGCGCTGACAAATTTCCTGAATAGAAGCATCCTCTCTTTTAGTGAGACCAAGTGACTCATACGGCGCATTAATAGCACTCCTCTCGTCGTTTTCTTCTCGAACTCTCCCATTAGTACCGAACTTTTGACATCTCTAGAAATCCTCTGTTTTCCACAAAGATCGAGAATAAGCTATTGTAATTTCTTGATCATATGAGGAACGGCTTAGAAGCTCTGAGCTAATCATAGCAGTAACCATTTGACAATATGGTCAATAGGTGTTCAAAATAGCCAATCTACACATACATTATTTGTGATGTCATTAACCATCAAATAAGTCGACCGGATTCCACTAGACCTCATTGTCATCACACACCTGATAAAGAGATTACGAAGAGCATTACAACTTTCTAAGAATATCTTTCTTCTATCCTTCCAACGGTTTACCGCTTCATCGTTGCTGTGAGGTCTTCCTGGCTGTCGGACTGCGATGTACAGCGAGGGGATTCCATCCCCCCAGTAGGATCTCCTAAGCTGAGAAGGAGACCGGCGTTTCCACCGGTAAGCCAGCTAAGAGTAAACCATTTCCAGGATCCACCACCGTTCTGGTATCAAAGGCGCATGGTAGTAAATCTCTCTCTGATCCATAAGGATGGTGACTGCCTGTGGTGGTGCCGACTTGGGGCAGACTTTGGCCTGGGTGAGGTCGGGACTCCAGTGAACCACAATGGCTAAACCAACAAAACTCTGAAACAATGGAAATTATGCTGGAAACCGCACAACCAGTGAAGATGAGCCATCCATCTATCCAAGTATCATTCTTCAATAGAAAGTCAATCTTGGGAACTATCTTTCTCGAAGTGTTTATCGCCACTGCAAAACTTAGAAGCTCACCAGACTCTACTTTCCCGCAGGTTCATATCCATAGCTGGGCTTGCAAATAACAATGTCTGACTTATTTTCCGCTTGGAAGACTACTACGAGAGAAACTCTAGATGGACACCGCACCTGCACACGAAGGCACAATCCGAGCAACGAAGTGTCCGTAAAACAATTGGAAGTAATACACTTTAACCTATGACAAATTCCCAATATTATTCAATGTACAGATTATGGTGGCAATTTAACAAATAAGATGGAAGCGTCAAAGAAACGTCACAGTGTATACAAAAACAGAGATGAAAAATTGAGCTACTTACGGAGCCAACCAAAACTTCGAATCATTGACGAAGGTTCTGCGGCTATCTCGGACATGAAGAACCATGCAAAGCTGGTGAATACTTGCAAACAATCCATGGTCAGAAGATCGATCATCTACAAAGTGAGCACATGACAAACACAATAGAAATCACAAAACTGAATAAGTTAAAATGGCTGAAAGAAAGGTGAAACGAAGGATACGCAACAGAACACGTTAGCGCCAGCGGGTTCCATCCCCACCACAATCAGCTGCGGTCCGGAGTTTCGCAAATGCCTCAGCAACGTTGTGGTTGTATTTCACACCACACCCTGCCATCCACTGATCTCCCTCATATGAGGGGATCTAGAGCCAGTTGGTCGCCAGGCTACGTGGCACGTCCCCAGGTGGCGGATAGGAGCTTAATCGTGGGCCAAAAGCGACCTTGCTTCCCTGAGGCGCAGGTGGATCCAGAGGATGGACTCCCTGTTTCAGCTGCGCTGATTTGGCATATCACTTTTCACTATACGAAAACGTATTTATGCATGCGTGTGTGGGTGCGTTCTAGTTATCGCGGGTTGTATTCTGCGAATCAAGTCCGCCAAAAACCTGTAATCGAGTGACAGGGAAGTATATAGGAGGCGGTTAGGAGTCGCCTCCAACAAATAAGCTCCATGTCCACTCTGGGAGACTAGCAAGCTATCCATGAGTATGTCCTGCGCCCACGTTCAGAACCCAGCAAGCTTTACGTGGGTATAAAAATGCTAAGCACAGTAAAAAAAAAGCCTCATTCTCCGAGCCCGAAAGATCCCTCAGTTTCGTAGCGTTGGGTAGGACGAGTACGGGGAGGCTACTAAAATCTATAGGCCATTTCAGCTGCTTAAATCGCAAAGACGTAATGCGTAGTGGCGGTAACCGATGGACAAGAGCCGTTAGTGACTGGATTCCTCGGGATATCAAACGTACCGCAGGAAGACTACCGACCCGATGGTCAGAGTTCTTCACGAAGAGCCTAAAAGAAAGATATGATGCTCGACGAGTACCTAGAGCGAGCAGAACCCACTGGGCTACTCTTGCACGCGACAGGGAAAAATGGTAGATTTACTGGCACCTGCTCGAATCACTCGACGATCGACGGGACTACAAGTTATACAGGTGATGCCCTGCCGTGAAAAAAGAATAGGCAACAAATAAAAAGTGACTGCAATAGAAAGTGACATGGTAACTATTTTTAAAAAGTTCACAAAACTGATTAGGTGTAAAGACAGAATGAAGGCGTACAAGTCAATCCGTGGTTTACGCCGAAAACTCAATACACGCAAAGTACCCAGCCAAAATCACTCTCAAAACTACAAAACAATAACGCTTAACTAACCAACGCAGCCGGTCCATACAGCACGAAAACAGAAATAGTTACAGAATCTGGCAATATGCACTAGCTCTTCAAGTGTAAATGGAAGCGCACGTTCGTACAACTCTTCCTCATCCAGGATTCTGTAAACGACTGTAACGTAGGTGAGCCTTCAAAAAAGGTTAAAACTAAGTACTTAAAACTCACGATATAACGATCGCAGCAGCGTCAGCAAACAACATAAGTGGTGCTGCGTGTAGGCTCTGAGGGCAGGACATTAATACCAGTGCTGCATTCAACGGTGAAGGTGTGGACGACGAAGACGACACATACCGTGCTTGGTTACCCCATCGTACCAGATAAGACCATAGTTGACGAAGAATCCGATCCTCGCGGCATATCCCTTAAATTTTTTAAACCAGTGAACAGAAAGCCTAAAAAGCTCCGATTGAAGCATGTAGTTTAATGAATTTTGAATCGGTAGTTAAATGACAAACGGCTTTTACTCTCTCGAAAATGTGAAAAGCTCACTAATGCATAAGAATATTTATGATAAAGAAATAAAAAGGAAAAGCTCTCGGTTTTGATCAATTTCCGAGGGATTTGTCATGCATTCGAGTACATTAAGCATCGTTGGAGGTGACTGGATGCATATCTGGCCTTTACAATGACTCGCGGTGGCCGACCGATGTACCGAGCCACTGCTGTTATCCTCCCAGGCAAGTCTAGTACCGATTTGTCGGACTCCAGAGGGAGAAGAGGCTTGATGAGCCATGGTCGTGGGGGTCGATCCATGTGTATTGCAGAGCGCCTCCGACCACCGCGCTATACGCCTCCCCTATTGCGGTACTACAAAAATAAGTCCAGGCGAAGTAAAAAAAAAACCATTCACCCGCTATAATTTCGTTCTTCATGTTGGCCATTGTTGATAAAGCTGTCATATATAGCTGACAAACAATAGCGGCAAGCGTTGGAGGGATATCCTTCTCGAGTTCTCTAGAATGTAAAGGCTCAGAGGATGATCCACCACCCAGCTTCTTCCAGAGCTCTGAATTGTAAGCGGTAAGATTGCAAAACACTACATATTTCGCTGATTCTGGTACTCAGATTTAAACACAAAGCTGAAACGCGAAGAAAAATTGTAATAACTTAAGGAACAGATTCTGTTAAAAATACTTCCAAAGAATGGGGTAGAAGTAGGAAAGCGGACGAAATACAAATTGTTCGACTACAGCGATTTAGGTGTATTCTTCAGCCAAATGGATATAGTAGATAAAAAAAATGAAAAAAAAATGAAGAAACAACTATTGAAGGTAGTCCCCAAATCCTTGACCATCATCTGGCCGTTTGATTTGTTTTGACCAACACCTTCGAGAGCTTTGTCAAAAAGTCTGCACACTATGCGGTAACTCCAAAGCATCTGAAGCTGTCGCAAAACATTATGCAACGACCTTTCGGTCCTGAAAAGTAAGGACAAGAATAGAAGTTCTACAATTTCAAGTGAATACCAACTTACTTAGGGTCGATGGGTAGCTTGTAGTGACCGAAAATTGGGTGCCAATGATTGTGACTGGATTGCTCTCCTGGACGAACTGCGAATTCTAAATATGTAGATAGCAATTTCAAGAAATTTTATCCTTACAAGTATTTGTTAAGTATTAACACATTCACTGTCATATGCAACGATATAACTTCCTAATGCATACGTGAGCGATCAGAATCGACTTTTCTGGTGACCTCACTGCATTTCATCAGTTGTTCGTTTTGCTACACAATTTTCCGCTCAACTTTTGTCCCCATCGTGAGCTCATCGAGCACAAACCTTGTGCCGAGCATTGTTCAATAAATTCTTCACTTAACAGCATAGATAAGACCGAGTTTGGTCCTCCTATATGACCCTCGTAGGTTTGGACAGTATACGCCGAGTATTAAGAAAGTAACAGAAATGAAAAAAGCAAAAGAAATCGAACGGTAGCAACAAAAAAGAACGTAAAACGGGACGCGATCATTTTGAAGTCCATTACGGACCGCATGCGCTGAGTTGAATGCATGCCGCGCACGAAAAACGGTGGAAGTGGTCCGATGCCACAGCCATCAAAAGGTGTGTTGAAATGTAGCGTACCTGTACACTGTGCCATGACTAGTCCTATAACCCAGGTCCAGTCAACAATTCGTTTTTTTACTGTCTGCAAGACAAAGGATAGGGACGCAGAGGAAGATTACTCAAATGAGAGTTGACCTAACCTCCTCGTCTAGGTAGCCCAAATGAATGATGTTGCCGAGGAGATTAATGCTCTTCTGCGGTTCTATACATTCTATCAATTCAGGTGAAGAACGCAAACATGTGAGACACATATCAAATAGTCCAGAACTGAGAAAGTTGTCCAGATTCTAAAGCAGTAATTTGAGTAGCGCGAAACTTTGAACTCAGGAAACCAAATGGTTGGAATAAAGTAGGAACAAACCTACCGCTTTATTCAAATGGACGATGATGGCGGGGCAGGTGAGTACGTGGCTAGTAAAAAGTGGCAATAAAGCCTCATCGTTTTTGACGGATTTGAATAATAGAGAAAATAGAGCGTTTAGTGCCTGTCCACTTATTAGAGGCTTGTGCTCATTTGAGGCAAGAAACAAAGAATTCTGAAAAACAAGAGAACTAAGGCTAAAAGTTTTAAGCAATCATAGTGTATTAGGATTAAGTAGAATGCAAACCGCAAGACGTGAGAAATTCGCTTGCTCTCCTAACGAGCGACAGATCTTGTTGCATAGATCATTGAGCACTTTCTGGACCTGAAATCAGACGAGCTAAAATTAAAGACATCTTATCTCAAGAAAAATTAATTGACATCGGTAGAAAAACAACGTGGAACAGACCACAATATGTCAAAATCCACTCAACTGAGGAGCATTCCGAACAAGAAACCAGCCATTGCTAGAACTCAAAACAATCAGAAAATGGATAAAGGCCTGCCAAGTCTTCACCTCCGTGACACGACTACCCTAGAAATCAGAACGTTCGTCAAGGCACAAGTGAAAAAACTAGTATAATACAACTTAAGACGATTTTGGATGCTCTAGACGCACGAAAAATTGTATGCACCCCGAAACAAAATCGCAATAAGGACTCCAGACTTCAGACTAACCGAAATGTACATGAGAGATTGAGGAATTGCTGAGATAATTTCCGAGGTAATCCGGCTTGCAGTAGCTATAGTTGACTTGTTCAAGAACATAGTTGCCCAGTTTGTTTCCTTTACTGACGAATCCAGTGATAATATTATATGCCGACATAGCAGCGCTAATACCTGAACAGTCTCTATACGATATGTAACTCTTTACTTACTGTTTATTACTTTTCCATGACAACGTATCATGTGGAATACAACCACAATAACGCTAAGATATTTACAAAACCCAAACTGCAGGCGAGATTCGAAACCACGATTACCCTTCCCACAGCCCTCAACGTATTACCCACTGCACTACGGGGCGCCTTGACTTGCCTTTCTGGCAACCAGTTTTTTACCCTAGTGGTACTCTTACCCTTTTTTACCTGTTTTTTCACCCTAAAGACGTTAGTTCAAATCTGGGCTCGGGTACGAGTTTTGCAAATATCTCAGCATCATTGTGGTTGAATCTCTACATACTCAACGCATAGATTTCACAGGAAATAATTTATACAAGGCTCTATGCTGCTGTTCGATAAATGCCAATATTTTTTCTTTCTGACAAATAGAGTAGTGGAGGAATTGGAAACTTGCGACTCACACGAGCGGCGTTGCCCAACTATTCCCAGGGTATAAATTGATTTTTCTAAAATTTACTTCCGATTTTTGACCTCTTTGAAACTAGAACAAAAAACCGACTTCCTATAAACCTCGGAGTAAATGACCGATATATTTATTTACATGCTCTTATGAACTAGCCATTTTGAGCTGATGCGGGGTTGGTATAGGTTGTTCTATTCGGAATTTAAATTTTTAAAACATTGAAGGATGAACGGGAAACGTAAAAAACAACGATACATTGGAGGACATTAGAATTTCACCGTTACAGAGTAAAATTACTTGTATCTTACAAGAAAAACTTGTTCTCGTAGAACCTAACAGCTCTTACTAAAAGATGCGGCGTTCGGTGTTCAAAGATCCTTAGTAGTGTGGTATGCACTGGACTCCCTTAACTATCGCCCACGTGATAGAATACATCCTTGGTTTCCACAAGACTGGTACTCACCTGCCAACCCCGGATGTATGACACTCCTGGTTAGTCTAAGGCGAGTGTGTATGGCGCAGTGATCGGAGGCGCCATGCAATACACATGGCATCGATACCGTCGCAGTAGGCTCACCAAGCCTTCCACCTCTCCGGGGTTGGCAAATTGCTACCAGACTTCTCTAAGATGACAGCAACACTGGCTCGATACCTCGGTAGGTCACCAAGAGTCATTGTAAAGACCAGATATGCATTCATTCACCTCCAAACGATGCGCTTGATGAAGTCGAATGCACGGCGCATCCCTCAGGTAATGATCAACAACGAGAGCTTTATCCTTCATTATCTCTTTTTTTGAATCAAAAGAGGCAATTATTTCTGGCAAGTGCTTGCTGGAATCAATGCATCTCACCCGTTGTGTGTTAATGAAGGTGTAGTAAATGCCAAATATTAAACATAAAGAAAAGCATACCATACACCCACCTCATTATCACCAGGTAGCCGCATCACTTTCAGGAGAAGACGACCCCATTTTAGAATCTCATCGTTCGAGAGCAAAACTTTTTCTGATTTCTCGAGGTCAACGAAAGTAGACAGCTTTTCCGATATCGCTGATCTAGAAAACTTTGCTGTTTCCAAACATTCATTGACTTTAACAGACATCAGAACGTACCGCACAGTAGTGACGAATTTTTGTCTGGCTAGGTAACCCCTAGCTAGTGCTTGCAATTTGATTGTAACATCAGCTTGAAGCCGAGTCACTTCACGTTCCTTTCTTTGCACTGCAGCATCGGCAAGAAATTGACTACGTTCGTCCATGTCCGACCATAATCCTTCCTTAACTACAATACTGTATCTCGATCGATGGAATTAATGAGGTATTTGGTATATCCTCAGATTCTTAAGGTCATAAAGTCCGTTACTTAAGGTCCACCAAACTAATGAAAACATATGAATGAAATTCCGATCCAAATCCTGCATCCTTTTGAAGTTCCTTCATTAAAACTATGATCTCCTAACGGAACAAAACAAAGATGAAGCTCTCGGCGTTGATCACTCCCGGAGGGTGCGCATGCATTCAACTCCATTAAACATCGTTGAAGATGATTGAATGCATATCTGGCCTTTACGACGATTTGCAGTGGGCTACCGATGTATCGACCCAGTGCTACTATCTTCCTAGACAAGTCTGGTACCAGTTTGCCGACCCCGGGATGGAAGACTTGGTGAGCCTGGGGCGCAGAATCGACCCCACGTGTATCGCAGGGCACCTTCGAACACTGCTCCATAAGGGCCCTTCAAATATACTAAAAGCGGCAAATCTTGATCTCAACAAGTTCAGTCTATCATCATCGATCAGCAAAGGCTACAAATACTTTGGCTGGCAGCTGAACCTTCTCGTGAACCATTTAAAAACTCAGTGTACGATTCATTGACAAAACTAATTGCAGCTTTATTCCAATAAGGGTTGAGATCGATCCTACGGAGTAATTAAAATGAGTACAACATTGTACTTAGTTGTAAGATGACTAGAAACCAAGAGATAACAAAAAGAGTAGTTAACAAACAACAGATTCTATGGCAGTAAAGTAAAACTAGCAAAGTAACAACATTACATCGAAGAAGAAACTTAAAGTAGGAAACGAAAGACTATGGCTCTCCGTATTAATGTCCCACTATGCTATACAACAGCGGTGGCTTAAGTGGTAGATTCAAGCAACGGTCAGCAATCCTTAAGAATGAAGCATCAATACACTAAACGTTAGAGTAGTACGGAACTACAAACGCTGTATATAAGGCAACGGTGACCTTCTTCAGACTTCAGTATGTTGCTTAGAGCCCTTGTGAACAAGAGGCTGCTTTCCAGTTTCTAACGGTGGTTGTTGTGTGGTGGAAGGCTTCGACACAGTGCTCGCTTTCGGTCGTAGTGAGCTCATCACGATTGCTTGAGAACGTTCATCAGCTGAAAGACTTTCAAAACAATTCACTGGTTCCCCTGATGAGTGAACATGAGGTTGATAATTTACTCCTTATTTATAAACAAGCTGTCTTAGAGGATTTCGCCTTCGCCAGGGCCTCGTAAGGTCTAGTTGACTGGAATCTACGCAGGCAAACACTTCCTCAACCTTTACCAGAGTAGCAAGTCGGCCGTGGGAATTACTTTCAAAACACTTTGGTTATTGAATCAAATGACTCTATGCTACTTGAAACTGATTAGATAGGAAAGACCATTCGTTCTAGAAAAGATAAATTGAGATAACTGAAGAGAGAACTGAGAAATTAAAACAACCATTTCCGCTCAAAACAACCGAGTGCAAAACGCTGAGGACACCTAATTCACGTCCATAGCAAGCATTCAGAGATGGCTTTCTCACGGCTGGAACTGTTATAGTACTGAAGGCAACCAGTAGAAAATACCTATTTTAGTACACAAATTAGCAAAAACCTCCCAACAGTTTACCGCCTCATCGCGGCTAGATGTTCCTGAGTGTCGAGCTGCGATGTACAGCGGGGAGATTCATACCTCCAGCAAGGTCTCCTAGGCTAAGAAAGCGTCCGGCGCTTCATCAGAAAATCTAGCTATGACTAAACGAATACCAAGATCAACCACCGTTCTGGCATCAAACTAGTCGAATGGCGACAAATCTCCCTTTGATCTACAAAGGCGGCGACTGCTGTGGTAGTGAGGATCTGTGGCAGAATTTGGCTAAGCTCACCAGGAACTCCGGGCAACTACAATGGGTAAACCAGCAAAACTCCGAAGAAATGGAAATTGCTGGGACCGGTACAAACAGTGAGGACGAGCCAACCAAGTATCGAAGTAATTAGCAAAAGAACCTTAAAAAGAACTTAGCAGAAAGGCTAACCAACGGCCTTCGCTCTTTTGTTCCGCATTTTCCGCTTTGCTGCAATCAAATCAATCTGACGTTTCGTTCGGGGAATTCTGATTCGCATGAAACAACAGACCAAAACAACTGTAAAAATAAACATCTAAAAAGTAGCAATTCCTTTAAATCTGCTATAGAAGAAAGCTAGGTCTTACTCATTATAAGAAGTACACCAAGAACAAGTGCGATCAGCATCCATAGTCTCAATCCTGGAGCTACATGTTGATCCAAAGCGGATAGTTGGTGTTCTGAGGCGATTGCCATCGATTCCTAAAATGAAACACAGAACATAACTGAGGTTAACATGTCTTAAACGAAATGAAACATGTCTCGAAAGTACAAAAGGAGTAAAAATTACACACAGATTGAGCTGTTCGGCAATTTCAAGCTGTAATACTGGCGATACCTCCAGAACTTTCTAGAACAGAAACCGGGCAAATCAAACGAAACTGGAAGGAGTTTAATCAACAAGGTTAACTTTAGGGCTCAGTTAGTCCAAAAATGTTTAGCGATCTGCTTGTAAAATCTTGTAATTCTTAACGATAAACGGTTAAAATTGAAGAATCCATGATAACCCAAGGTGACACAGAACGCGTTAAATCTTTCTAACATTTTATTCAGCTTAATTTACTTTAACATTTAATCATTCATTTAACTTCAACTTAACCTATGACTTAATCTTAATTTGACATTTCACGGATCAATAGATAGATCACTGGGATAACAAAAAATCCATTGATATTCCGCAATTGCAGAAATCTGACGATTTAATCGGAAGTTCAAGGGTGAATAGCAAAACCGTATGACACCTCAAGAATTACTTCTAACTGTATTTATTTATTCTAAGACTTCTCTTCCGTCGACACAAGTGCTAACACTCTCGCCACTGTAGTTTCAGTACTTCCCATAACAGCAAACCTTATCTAATTGTAAATATACAGAGAAATCAAAAGGTTTTTCTTCTAACAACAAACCTCCCCTAAGATACTTACTAGTAACTAAGAGATATGAAGGCTAACTACAGGATACTATTACCCTTTGATCAATAGAAAAAGGGGTCGACAAGATTAAGGTGGCACTGTTACTGAGGGTGGACGAGGAGGGAGGAGGGACGGAGGGCATGCAGGTGGACCGTGAGCGCCACACCTGTTATTCAATCAGCCATGGCCCGTTGCTAGTGCATTTCCAACGATTCGAAGCAGATAACAATCATCCAGAAACTCTGCAGGATCAATAAGACTGGATCATGTTATTAGCGTTCAGATTTTCATTGTTTTGTTCGTGTTTTCGTGTGTGGCATAATAAATTGCATAGGGGCGCATGTGGCGCAATGGGTCAGAGGCGCCATGCAATAAACATGGGGTCGACACCCACGCCCCTGGCCCACCAAGCCTTCCATCTCTCGTCTATGTGCAACGCAGAATTGCATAATTTGCTACAATGGTAGAGACGGTGATTGCACGAGCTCGGGTATAGTTTATCTGATCTCCTGTAAGGCGTGCAGAGACGAATACATTGGCGAAACGGGCAAACCTCTCTGTATCCGCATAAAAGAACACCTAGCCGGAAAACATAAACCAAATACCCCGCTAGGCACGCATAGTACCCAGAGACATAACGGGGAGGACTTTGGAGTACGTGTCACGATCCTCGCGCAGGAATCAAGAACACAAGCTCGCAAAGCTCTCGAGGTAATTCCAGAAATCCGAAAATGAACTGCAGGGAAGAATGCTTCATTATCGCGCGTGATATTGGGTAGTACATAAGCCCGCAATTCTGGTGGGAGGGGCACATTACGCTCCCATGTGAATTCTGTGCGGTTGGTCTTCACGCGACATACTCAGTGGAAGAGTCATAGAAAGCGGTGAGTGTGCAGAGCTGTGTTCAGTGTGATTGAAATCTTGTTTTAGCGTTTTCTCTGTTTGGTTATGAAGGTGTTTGGCCGAATAGATTGCTGTCAACTTGACCTTTCCAGGCTCTGAGGAAGGCGAAATCCGCCAAAACGTCAGCTTTTACGTGAGTGGGGAAGTGGAATAGCACCTCGTGTTTGCTGAACAGAAGTGGAAAGAATTGTTCAATCAATGCCGAGGTTAATAGAAAGTCGAACGTAAGAGTTATTTCGGTGACTTTCATGTCGTGTGGATATGCTTCATCGTATTGAACTTCCAAAGAGGAAATCCTGCTACTGCTTTCATGTTTGTCCTTCTAGTGGCCATGTTGGAGAATATCCACTTTTCTGGCTGTATCAGACGACAGTTTGTATAGTTACCGTCCTTCCGCATCTTTTGAACTGTTAACCTACTTAGCATTGATGACGGTTTTGGATGAGTCAGCCCCATTCGTTTGTATTTGCGAAATTGGCGAATCCGTTTCGTGTTGCCACATGCTTTTGGTCTCCCGTACGTTAACGTGTTGAGGTGAGGGAACTCTCAGGACGTAGCACATGACAAGATATGGGGATTATTGTAGTCATAGCATAAATGGATAAGAGGTAAAGTGATCGGTGTTGATCAATTCTTGAGGGATGCGCCGTGCATTAATCCATACATGGCCTGTGCAATGACTTACGGTGGCCTACCAATGTATCAAATTACTGCTACCATACTCGCAGACAAGTCTGGCACCTATTTGCTGAGTTCGAATGAATGGGAGGATTGGGGAGTTCGGGCCGAGGAATGAAAACAACGACCAGGTGTTCATTTCAGGGCACATCTGACCACTGCGTAACAGGTGTTGCTCAGTCGTAAAGTATGAGCAAAAGAGAACATTAAGTTGTAGCAGCAAGAAAAGGTCCCAGGGTGAACACAGTACAGGCTACTATTAACGCAATAGGTGACATATTGCACTACGCACGTAGAGAGAACCTCGGCGGTCCCATAATAGGCACATAAAACGCCAGTAGCATGTGGCATAGTTTCTATTCGAGAATTAGTGTTAATTAAATAGATGTCAATCGTGACCTTGCACATACCACTTGGGATCGGCCGGGAATTTCATAATACTTTACCGTGTCTTATCGAGATGTGGAATAATCTTCATGTCATGGTGAAGAGCTTTAGTATATGAGTGACGTTGTAGCAACTGAATCCTCCCAAAATCAAGGTGATGACGTAAAGATGTAGAAGTTTATAGGGTTTTGAGGTTTTGTGAGGAGACAGGCAGCTCAGTGGTAATGGTGCCGTTTATTACAAGCAAAACACTGGTTTGATCCTGCATCGGGCCTACTAGGTTTCCTATCACTCTGAAATAGGAAAATTGATGTCAGATTCGTCTGGAATCAGTTAGTTCTACTCCATAAAAGATGCGTTTGCCTGTGTAGAACACCTGAGAACATCCTAGGGCGACTAATCATTCGAGGGAGATCTTTCAGTAACTCCCACGACCGACTTTCTATTAACCTCGGCATTGATCAAGTAATTCTTCGTATTCTTGTTGAGCAAACGCGAGGTGTTATTATTCCTTATTCACAAATGAGCTGACGTTTCGGCGGATTTCGCCTTCCTCAGAGCCTGGAAAGGTCAAGTTGACAGCAATCTGCTTGGCCAGACGCCTCCATAACCAAACAAAGAAACTCTAAACCAAGATTTCAATCACATTGAACACAGCTTTGCACACTCACCGCTTTCCATGAGGTCTCCACTAAGTATGTCACGTAGAGACCAACCGCACAGAAATCACATGGAAGTATAATGTACCCCACTCATCAGAATAGCAGTCTTATATACTGCCCTACATCACGCGTGATAATGAGGCATTCTTCCCTGCGGTTCATTTTCGGATTTCTGGAATTAATCCAGAGTGCCTCGAGAGTTTTTCGCGCGTGTTCTTGATTCGCGTGCAAGGGTCGTGACACGTACTTCAAAGTCCTCCCCGTTATGTCTCTGGGTCCTATGCGTGCCTAGCGGAGTATTTGGTCTATGTTTGCCGGCTAGGT